TAAGGTTTATGCAATGCAATAGTTTTTAAATTCTTCTATCTTTAATAGCCCAACTTTTACTACTAGATCTCTCCTTACAAGGTTTCACACTCTCAGACCTTAGAGAACATGGTGGGTATTTGGGACCTACAGTAGCACAGACAAGGACCTTGAGCCTTGACTTACTAGCTGACACCCCAGCATGTACAGTACATCCTCTTCTGCATGCCCCATGCCATGCTACACATTTCTCTAAGCCCCTCGCATTACAATAAACAATTCAAGTTCAAAGTCTCCCCACTGTACTGCCTTTACCTGGAAGAAAAACAGCACAAAAGGGAAGCCTACAAACAAGTTCATCTTGAATTTGGGTTAACCTCGGTCTGCCTTTGCTCTCAAATGTACTAATACCTGAGCCTTAAATGGTTAATTCCAGAAAGCCAAAATTTATCCTCTAAGTATGTATAAAAGAGCTTAATATTTCAATAACATAAAGGGTATTTTAGATGATAGAAAGCCAAAATTTATCCTCTAAGTATGTATAAAAGAACTTAATATTTCAATAACATAAAGGGTATTTTAGATGAGGTTTAACTAACCATCTTGATACAATAAAATGTATTTGCAAAACTTTTAGTGCTATCTATTAACATATTACAATTTTCATTTTTTTATTGACATCATGTGATTAATTTATGACAGGCATGAAACCAATTCACTGGAAAAAACCAATGAAATTAGACATTTTGGCTAGTTAAAAAAAATTAAATTATTTCACAATGTGTTAAAAGTGGACCTTTAGTGTCTACATCAGAAAAGACCTCTTAACATGTTGTTCTCAAAACCCAACATTTTCGCTTACTCAAATAAATCATTTTGTCTATTTTTGTTTGGCTTTTAAGACAAAATTTTGCTCTACACCCTTGCCAATCAACATCAGTGCTCCTGTCTCACTTTCTCAGGAGATGAAATCAGAGCAGGAGACCAGCATGTCTGACTCTGTTTCTAATATTTGTAATAAAAGTCACATCCACAGGTGTGAGCTTATTAACTATAAGCCTTGTGTTCTGTGACATGGAATCTCAGTGCTGAGGTTATTAAAGAGTTCTTCAATGATAAGGTCAAGAACAACTGAAATATTCATCTATGTCAAGAACCAAGTTGTTGCTATGTGTAGTGACACACACAGTTATTCCCAGCACTCAATAAGGTCTATTCTGTATATGAACCTCTTACAAGCATTCATTCTGTAAAATAATCCTATTTGTAACTATTTTTTCTGCAATAACATTGATTCTAAAAGGTAGCATGCCCTCTGTTTTTCCATTTTGCAAACTGGACCATCCAGCAGACATAGGTTGACTTACTGAAGCTAATACAAATAAGCATAGAGTGGGCTTTCTGCTACCATTGTGCTGGAAGCATTTTCACCTGAACAAATATAGGCGTTAATACTCACATCTACTGCTGAAATATAATGTTCTGCAAGTAAAGGTTCAAGCTACAGAGATCACATATATTAGCAGGGTAAGAGAGATGCAATAAGAAATTCTTCTTAAAATTAAGTAACTGAATCACCTAACCTTCCAATTTTTCATGTTTTAGTTGGGTTACAGGGTACCTGACAGTCATGTTATTAGGCCCTAAAGAAATAAAATGAAATGCCAATTAACATTACCCTTTTTCCAAAGATGACGAAAACATTTGTCCAAAGGCTGATTAAGAATCACAAGGCAGTACTTCAAATTTCCTAAAGAATAAAGAAAAAGGTAAAATAAACACAAATGAATTGAACTCCCTTCCCACTATGTAGCTCTGGAACAGCCTCCAGTCCAGGTTTTCAGTACACACAGAGATGAATTTCAATGACAGATACTTTCTCATACCTTCCTTTTAAGAGATTAGATATTAATAGGACTTGATCTGTTCAATATGTCTGTCTGTCAGATTCCCACCACAGGCATTTTTTTTCTTGCTTTATTTTTATTTTAGATGTATGAATGTTGTGCCTGCGTGTAGTGTAAGTGCACCATGCATACAGTATCTGAAGAGGCCAAAAGAAGTGTTGGAGCCTCTGGAACCAGAGTTACAGAGGGTGCTGGGAACCAAACAGGGGTCTTCTGTGAGAGCAGCCAGTGCTCGTAACCACGGAGCCATCTCTCCAAGCTCTTCCACCACAGGCATTTTAATAGCACGGTTACAACAGCAATCTCTGTGTTGGTCACTTTTTTCTCCACTAGCTGTTCTCAGAGCCACAATGTTTTCAATAACCTTAGCTGTATGCTGATCCCTCTTCTCCGTTACAGAGTTAGGGGCCAGTCTGCCCCAGGACAAAGAATCTTGGAGACATTGGAAAGGACAGGTGTCACAGTGACAAGTAGTCAAAGCACAACCTGTCAAAGTCAGTTCTCTCCTTCTATTATGTGAATCCAGGGGATCACACTTAGGTCATCAGGCTTGACAACATTGCCTTTACCCACTGAGCCATCTCACCAGCAAAAACAACAACAACAAGAAAAACAAAAAAAAACATTATTTTATAATAATGTTCATTTCATCTTTATCTCATGCTTTTAAATTCATTTTCTCAATATTTTATATATAACTAGTAAAAATAAAAGCTAACGAACAAATAATACTGGGAGAATACTGGGAGAGAAATAATCCACACAATAAATTACAAAATTTTATAAATAAAATAGATTGCCTTTTTATGTGCATGATTATGTGGGCATGTATGTATGCATCTACACATTGGGGTATGTGTGAGAGTAGACACTAGCCATGGTGTGCATTTAGAGATTAAGAAACCATCCTCAGGTGCTGGTCTCTGCCTTTCAGCGTACTTGTTGTCTGAAGATGCATGAGTCAGGTTAGCTGGACTGCATATGTACCCAATTACAACCACCTGATAGTTAACAAAAATGCCAACACACACACTGGAGGACAGAGCATCTTCAAAAGATGGTGCTGGGAAAACCGGAAGTCCACATATAGAGCAGGGAAATCAGATCCTTATCTTTCACCCTGCAGAGAAATCAACTCTAAATGGATCAAAGACCTTGATGTGAAACCCAAAACACTGAAACTGCTACAAGCAAAAACACGCAGTACCTATAAGATTTGGTGAAGGAAAGCACTTTCTAAATCAGACTTTATTCACTCAGGAAATAAGGCCAACAATCAACAAATGGGACCTCATTAAAGCTAAAAGTCTTCTGTGCAGTAAAGGAAACAATTGAAAGAAGAGCCCACAGGATGGGAAAGAAACTTCGCCAGCTACACATCTGACAGAGGATTAGTTTCCAAAATATAAAGACAACTAAAAGAAAATACAAAGAATCAAGAAAACGAACAATTCAGCTAAAAAATGGGCTACAAATCTGAACAGAGTTCTCAAAGAAATAAAAATGACTAAGAAATACCTTTAAAACTGTTCAATATCTGTAATAGTTAGAGAGGCATAAGTTAAAACTATTTTAAGATCTCATCTCAGTGAGAATGGGAAGATCAAGAAGACAACTGTCAACAAATACTGATGAGGCTGGTGGGACTGCAAACAGGTACAGCCACAGTGGAAAGCAGTGTGGCGAACACTTAAAAAATTAAAATTAGATCTGCAGTGTCACCATGCCACATTACAGTTATGACTGAATAAAACAACTTGACTCTCAACTTTCGTTTTCAAGAGTGGGTCCGAGCTCAGAGAACACCCATTCCCCCAGATGACGCTTGGAGCTGTGCCCTGGAACTGTGCTCTGGAACTGGGTCTGGAACTGTATCATCCAGTTAGGCCTCACCTCTAATTATATTCAAAACCATTTTTCCATCTTCAACTGGGGAAGTACAAGCTTGAATTCACCCTGATCAGACAATCCTGCTTTTCATCCCTAGTTCTAGAATATCTCATGCAAGTAATGGTCCTCTCTCAATCCTCATGTTTTCAAAAAGATGGTATATTGCCTTTCAAGGTGTTGATGATAATTCTCAAGTATACCCATATTCATTCATTATCTTTTTGGGTGAAGTAGCAAATGGAGGTTCCCAGGAAATAAGTCCAGGTACCCAGGACACAAGAGCAAATGGTTTCTTGAGTTTGCCAAGGTTAATCAAGTTATTAGTCTAGATTATGTCCATTTTATAAAAGCCATTCCTACATAGATCTACTGAAGGATTCAGCTATACTACCCCTTGGCATACACCCAAAGGACTCAGTTTCCTACTAAAGAGATACTTGCTCTGCCATGTTTATTGATGCTCTTTTCAGAATAGCTAGGAAATGAAAACAACCTAAATGTCCCTTAATTGATAAATAATGAAAATGTGGTAAATTTACACAATGGAGTTCTATACAGCTGTGAAGAAAAATAAAATTTACAGGCAAATGGGTGGAACTAGAAACTGTTTATTGAGTGAGGTAACCCACACTCAGAAAAACAAGTGATACATATTCTCTCTCATTTGTGGATCCTAACACCAAATCCTTAAATGTGAGTACATACCCTGATGTGACCACAGGAGCAGGAAAATGGGAAGGAACCATGGAGGGAGAGGGGAAGAAAGAACTCAAGAGACGGGGGATACGAGACCACAGTTATCAAGGGGAAAGGGGAAAATAGGGGTGACAGTAACTGGGGAGGAAGGAGGGAAAGCTATATAGGAGGAAAGAAAGGGAAGAGAGATAAATAAAACTTAGACGTTTTGAAAAACCAAAGGGAAATGCAGTATTTAATAAGCCTCCTGAAAAAAAATATAACAAAAATCACAGTAGCAGGCAAGGGAAACCACCCTTCGAGTTTGTTAGCCCAAAGATTTCCAAAATAATATAGGCCATTGCCACAGTCCTTGATTGCCTCCCAGAACTTGAAGGCAAGACCCTACTGTTGAAAAATACGACATGCTTTGGATACAAGACTTGGAGCAATTCACTTGGAACTGACCTGGAGACCTCCCCAAAAGATTAGTTCTCAGTATCTGAAAGTGCCACGCAAGCTGGCAAGGGAAAACACCAAGCAATGGTCCTACCTAGCGCACCCAGCTTTACAAGTTTCTGTGGGTGTGAACTAATATTCTAATGCTTCATGGCAAGGGCTTTACAGAGCCATTGCCCTTTAAAAAGCTAAAACAATATAAGATTAAAAGAACTGAAGACCAGGGATGGAGCTCAGCAATTAAGAGCACTTGCTCTTGCAGAGGACCTGGGCTTGGTTCCCAGGTCCCACATGGTGTCTAACAATCATCTGTAACTCCACTTCTGGAGGATCCAACACCCTGTTCTAGCCTCTGTGCATTTACATACATTTAGGAAAACACTCATGCACATAAAATAAAAATACATCAAAAAAGAAGACCAATGCTCTCAATGAACATATATTAAAATACAATACCGTTTATAGTAGAAAAAAGTATTAATTAGATCCATTGGGAAATTATCATTTTTTTAATACATTGCACTTAGAAACTACTGGAAATAACAAAAAATCAGTATGGGCCAAAATGCATCAGACACTATATGTATAACAGTAGTTTGGTTAAATAGTAAAAAAGCATTCCTATGACTTTCTCATCCCTAAAGAGCATTGCAATTGAACAATGAAAACTCTGGGGCATGGAGTCTCATGTCTGTACTTCATGAATATTGACTCTTTGAGCAGATTCTCTTTTCAAGTGTGCATAGGGAAATCAAGACTGTCAAGTCAATTTGTTCTTCAAGAAGAGAAACTGCACGTGGATGAAGCAGCGCTCCAAAGAAGCTCTGAAGAAATATTTCACCAAAATCCATCAAAATAACTGGATTATCAATGGACTACGAAGACTCGGTAATTCACATATAAGAAATTGCTTCAAAGAAAGTAAACAAGAGTAGAGATAAACAGATGCTTTCTGAGAAATCTTTCTTACCCTCTGCAAAGAGTGGCTCTATGCATTACCCATGTGCACATGGGTCCATTCACGTGCTCTAGTGAGTCATTCCACATGCTCTATGAGCCTATGGGTCATTTCACATGATCTACAGTTCATTCCACATGTTCTATGGGTCATTCCACATGATCTACGGGTCATTCCACATGCTCAACAGGTCATTCCACGTGCTCTAGGGTCATTCCACATGCTCTATGGGTAATTCCTTGTGCTCTGCAGGTCATTCCATCTACTCTATGGATCATTCCACATGCTCTACATGTCATTCCACATGCTTTACAGGTCATGCCATGTACAGTAGCATGGTGAAATCATTGCCCTTCTGTTCGCAGTCTCTTGTCTGGGGTAACAAATGATAAGGTCTCTATTCTACTTTGCCATCAGGGCCCACCTCATCTCTCCAGATCAACAAGGCATGCGTCTTCCAACATTGGAAATAGTCATTGGCAGGGCAGTGACCTTACATTATAAAACCTAACAGCTAGAAATCCTTCTTCACCTTGCCTAACACATCTTGGTATCAGGGCAGAGCAGATAACTGTTTCCTGGGTCATGTTCACCCTTGACATCCTGGAAATTGCTCTCCTCTACCATGTCCTGTTGCTTTCCTGATCTCTATCTTGATCTGTATCAAGAACAGAATGAATGGGTATTGAGTAAATGTTGAGTATGTCTAGCTTTCCTATGTAAGAGCATTTAGGTGCCAATCCCTGGGTTCTGTGTGATCTGTCTCTTCTCCCTAAGTCATCCCCTCTGCTCTCACGGCTTCAATGCCAGCCACAATAGTGACTCTATACTTACAGCACCATGCTGGGACTTTGCCCACAC